AATTTCTTTCTATTTTTAGTAGAGACGGGGTCTCGCTCTTGCTCAGGCTGGTTTCGAACTCCTGAGCTCAAACAATCCGCCCGCCTCAGCCCCCCAGAGTGCTAGGATTACAAGCGTGAGCCAACGCGCCCGGCCTTTTCCAATGTTTTAATAGGATATGACTTTCTCCTATAGTTGGCTGGAACTTCTTACATATTGCAGTTATTTATCCCTTGTCAGATGGGTAGTTTGCAAATATTTTCTCCCATTCATTGGGCTGTCTCTTTACTTTGTTGACTGTTTCCTTTGCTGTACAGAAGCTTTTTAGCTTGATGTTATACAATTTTGCTTTGGTTGCCTGTGCTTTGGAGGAACTACTCAAGAAATCCTTGCCCGGACCAATGTCCCGAAGCATTTTCCAATGTTTTCTTTTAGTAGTTTCATAGTTTCAGGTCTTAGATTTAAGTTTTTAATCCATTTTGATTTGATTTTTATATGTGGCAAGAGATAAAGGTCTAGTTTCATTCTTCTCGATATGGATAGCCAGTTTTCCCAGCACCATTTATTGAACAGACTGTCCTTTGCTCACTGTATGTTCTTGGCACCTTTGTCAAAGATAAGCTAACTATAGACGTGTGGATTTTTTTGGGGGGTTCTCTATTCTTTTCCATTAGTCTATGCATCCATTTTTATGCCTGCACCATGCTCTTTTCATTACTATTGCTCTGTAGTATAGTTTGAAGTCAGGTAATGTGATCTCTTCAGTTTTTGTTCTTTTTCAGCATGGTTTTGCTATTCTGGGTCTTTCCTGGTTCATATAAATTTTAGGATTATTTTTTCTATTTCTGTGAAGAATGTCATTGGTTGCTCTGAATCTGTAGTTTTCTTTGGAACATTTTAACAGTATTGATTCTTCCAATCACGAGCATGGAATATCTCTCCATATTTTTGTGTCCTCTTCAATTACTTTCATCAATATTTTATTTTTTAATTTCAAAATACTAAGGGGATACAAATGTTTTCACTACATGCATAGTTTTTGTAATGCTTGAGTCAGGGCTATTAGTGTGCTCATCACCCGAATGTTGTTCACTGAACCCATTAGGTAGGTTTTTGTCCCTCCTCTTTTCCTCTTACATTGTAGAGACCTCTCACTTGTTTGGTTAAGTTTATTCCTACGTATTTTATTTGTAGGTGTTGTAAGTAAGATTATTTGTTGGGTTTCTTTTTCATATTGTTTGCTGTTGGCATATTAAAAAATGCTGATGGCCGGGCGCGGTGGCTCACGCCTGTAATCCTAGCACTCTGGGAGGCCGAGGCAGGCGGATCGTGTGAGCTCAGGAGTTCGAGACCAGCCTGAGGAAGAGCGAGACCCCGTCTCTACTAAAAATAGAAAGAAATTAATTGGACAACTAAAAATATATAGAAAAAATTAGCCAGGCATGGTGGCACATGCCTGTAGTCCCAGCTACTTGGGAGGCTGAGGAAAAAGGATTGCTTGAGCCCAGGAGTTTGAGCTTTGAGGTTGCTGTGAGCTAGGATGACGCCACGGCACTCTAGCCCGGGCAACAGAGTGAAACCCTGTCTCAAAAAAAAAAAAAAAAACCAATTCCAATTTTCCATTGGAGAAAGAGTAGTCTCTTTCAGATCTAGGCTTTTTAGAAAAAAAAAAAATACTAAAGAGGTAAAAACAAATAGAGTTTAAAAAGGGGAAAAAATAGTAGCCTCCAGGAAATTTAATAGGATAATAAGATATAAAATATGAAGAAAAAACCATGACAAAGCATAAGCAAGCATCAACTGGATAGACCAGGGAAAAAAACAAAAAAAGAACTATCATCCTACCACCCTATTTGGCTTTTTAGATTATGATATTTATTCAACAAATATTTAGATATTTAGATGCTCCAGGAACTTAGAACACATATTACTGAAAAACATAGAGAAAAATCTCTCTCTTTCTTCTATAAGAGCTTTTATACAAGTGGGGAGTAGACAGACAATAAGCAAAAAAAGTAAGTGGTAAATGGTAGAATAGGTTATTAGTTGTTTGGGGGGAAAAAAATAAAGCAAGATAAGGAGAGATTAGGAATGCGTATTAGGGGTGGGGCCGGGCAGAGGACTGTGTTTTTAAATAGAATGGGGTACAGAGCAGGCTTTACTGAGAAAGTGATACTTGAACACTGATTTAAATGTGAGAAGTTAAGGACAGTGGATCTCCAGGAAAGAATTTGCTGGCAGAAGGAAATGCCAATGAAAACCTCCTAATACAGGAACATATGTGATGGGTTCAAGGGGAAGACTGGTAAGAGATGAAATTGGAGACATGATGTGGTAAGGTCTTGTAGGTCATTGTAAACACTAGCTTTTTCTATAACTAACAGAAAGCCACTGGAAGAATCTGAACAAAAGAATGAAATGAACCAAATTTCACAAAGATCACTGGAATTGTATCGACAAGAGACTTGACTGGACAAGGGAGGAAGGAGGGAAACTAATTAGGAGACTATTAATATAATCTAGGAAAGACATAATGTGGCTTGGATTGGGGTGAAACCACTGGAGCTGGTGAAAAGTGGTCTGATTCTGGTTATGTTTTGAAAATAGAGCCAGTATGACTTCCTGATAGATTAAAAGTAGGCTATGACACAAATAAAGGAGTCAAAGATGACTCCTGGGTTTTAGCCTGATCAACTAGAAATATGGAGTTGCCATCTAAGGAGCTGCAGAATAGGTGAAAGGTGCATTTGTTTGTTTGCTTTTTGGTTAAGAGGGATAGCAAGAGTTCAGTTTTAGAGATGTTGATTTTGAAATGTCAGATAACTAAGTAGAAATGTGTAGCAGACAGTTGGATATGGGAGACCGGGAGAGAGGTCTGACCTGAGAGATACATTTGAGCATTATTAGTTTATGGATATTATCTAAAAGCCAGAAGAATGGATGAGAATAGCACCAAAGGGAATGAAAGTAGAAAAGACAAGACAACCAACTGAGAGCCTGAGAATTAGGAT